CGGTCTCCATTGGAGTTCCTCAAGGCTCCGTCTTGGGACCACTCCTGTTTCTGATCTACGCCAATGACCTCCCAGACGTTCTTGCGAGTCCATGTTTACTTTTTGCGGACGACTTGAAATCCTGGAGTTCCAATGCCAGTGCCCTCCAAATGGATGTAGACGCTGCCAAGCAGTGGTCGTTGGACTGGCACCTTCCTCTGAATGATGAAAAGTGCGTCCACGTGTCGTTTGGAGGGGATTCAGCGAATGCTTTTGTTATGCATGGTAAGAAGGGACCAGAAAACTTCCTGAGAATAGATGCCAAACAGGATTTGGGCATCTGGGTCTCCTCAAACTTGTCCTTCTCACTGCACCATGAGAAATCGGCCCAAAAGACATTCGCCATTTTACGGATGATCCGACGCACCTTCTCTCGTGTTACTCGAATGGACTTCCAAATACTCTATGGGGCCTACGTCAGACCGCTCCTGGAGTACGCCAACCAAGTTTTCTACTCAGGACGCACAAAAGATGTTAACCTCATTGAGCGTGTCCAGCTGGCCGCCACTAGAATGGTTACCGGCCTCAAATCCGTGGACTACGAAACGCGTCTCGCGATGCTTGATCTCTTTCAACTGAAGTACCATCGCCTCCGAGGGGACCTAATTCTTACATACGCCCTGTTTGAACAAAGCTTGGCAAACAGGTTTTTTACCGTTGACCCAGCAAACACCCGGCGAGGACATAGTAAGTACATTTTCAATCTCAGGGCACACACATTAATTAAACAAAACTTTTTTCATTTCGGATAGTAGCTGCGTGGAATGACCTTCCTCCGCCGGTTGTACACGCTCCTTCTCGAACCCAATTTAAAGCACTATTAGACATTTATTTATGCGAATCCTCGCGCTGGCGGGCATACTGCCCCGCGCTGAGAACATAAAGAGCAGTGCTACACCCTTTTTTCACTTGTGCCTTTCAGGTGAACGACAGCCACTGACCGACAAGAACAAAACCGACCCGGGAAACTTGGGCAAAAGCCTCGATCCTGTGTATCAATCCGTGAATCCGTGAATGTTCGCTCCTGATTGGCTGATATTTTGACCAATGAAGACATGGCCTGTTGGGCACGTAGCTGGCATGTGACAGTGATGCAGAGTCTCGTAGTGTGCACGCTATGGAGGCACCAGGGGGCAGTGATTTCTAAACGTTCAAACATGCCAGGGATGCCAAAGAGGAAGAATCAGACCAAGAGCAACAATTCATCGTACCACTACCAATCTTATTACGGAGAGGTCTGGAGGTACTGTTTGGGTGCTGTCCTTTGCGGCAGAATTCCGCCGCAAGTTAACTTGAAGACTTATTTGTTTCCTCCAGGCGACTAGAACGTCCATATGAGGGCAGCGCTGCCGCCTTCCATCAAGAAGGGACCGCCTTAAAAACAGCCCACTCAGACCACCCAACGTTTGACTGTGACCGCAGATGGGTTGTTCAATAGTGTCGGAATACTTTTGAAACCAGTTTTTTGCTGCTCAGAACACCTCTGCTGTGCGCAGCGGCATTAGAAGTCAGACAGGTATGCCTTATTACCTACGCTGTCAGGTTAGGTAAGCCTCCTACAACCAAAGGGTCAAATTATTCAGTTATTGCCCTCGGGCAGGGTTCTCCAAGAAACCCCTAACACTTGTTGACTCATGGATCAGACTATTGAGTCAGAAGCCACGGCCAGGCCCTGAAACAAGAAATTACTCTCTCTAACTGCCTTGTGGGTTCGAATTTTGAACCAAAGTTCAGTTCAGTTTGGTCGTTTCAGTTTTCTAGCTCAAAAACCGTGCATCGAGGTACAGTGGCTCCACCTGCTTCAGTTTCCTTCACCGAGGATGGCGAGAATAAGGGATTAAGAGCCGCGCAATGGAAGCAACGGCCCGATCAGCCCAGGGATCCTGTTTTTCCGGTGTGGGAGGGATTGAAAGCTTTGCAATACAGGCGATAGTTTTGATGTAAGACCACCGTTAGCTGTCACGCAGCCATATCTATCAAGGTCCCTAACCATTGGTTTGTCTCGTCCCGCAGTTTCCTTCCAGGAAGACGGTATTTGCTAACGTGACTGATTAGACTGATTTGGGCTTTTATGCTTCGCTACCAGACTACGGACCATGGGTCGTTGCCATCCGACACAAGGCTGGTTGAAGAGGGTTCTTCGAGGGTTCTTTCTGGCGTGCGAAGCACCTGGCTTAAGCAGTGCAACCTGTAGTGTGACCAGCTTATCTGCCAGAGGTTCATCAACTTTCCTTTCCTTTTCAACTCCATAGTCGAATTGATTATCGGAACAACGTTCATGTTTTTGTAACCTGGCGTGGAACTTCTCGAGGAAGACTTCAAATCTTTGGAGAATGCGAGCGCTATCACTTACTTGGTTCTGTTCCCATTCAGCTACAAAATACGCTCAGCAGTCTAAGTAATGTTGCCATGCATCTCGGTATGCGCTCAACATCTTAGTACTATTGCCAGACGGCATAATACTTGGCACTAAATACTGGACGTATTTGCTTCATTATCTAGGTAGTTGTATCACACCCACCGACAACATTGCTGAGTGAATGCTGAAATCATTAAAGCTCACTCTACTTGGGCACCTAGGGTTGATGTGACACCTGCCTGTCGGTGAAAGACACGGTTCACAACATGGTATTGCATCCAGTTTTACTTTGTGTCTACTGTGGCTACTGCGCACTGAAGACAAGAGAAAATTGATTGTCCTTGGCCACCGGTGCCTTCAAGAAATTTCAAACATGTCTAGAAACATCATATTAACGATGCTGAAGTGCGGTGGATGGTTTTTGCAGTAAATCAAGCGCTTGTGCGACCAACGAGTTGATTCGGCTTCACCAATTACACTGGTTCGCTGCATATGCCAGGCGATCGAAAGCCTCGCTCTACCCTGCTTGCTGAGGTAGGCTCCGAAAACACAATGTAGCCAACTCGTAACCCGGAGACGGAGCATAGGAAGCTTTCTGGTGCATGTCGTTTGTGGGGGTGTGGTCCGAAATTTCAGCCAACTCATTGGTACCTCTCGATATCACGCAGCCAGTGGCCGTGCTATATCTATTCTCTTGTCCTTAGTCGTTAATCCCCTGTTTTTTTCGTTAGAAGTGTTTTTATGTACCCTCTCCCTACGCCACCCGCTATCATAAGCCATGGGTACCCGAGCCACCTTGCGTAAGTACAGGGTTCACGGTTGTAAAACTCGATTGAGTGCCAATTCTCGTTTCGATCTTCACACTTATATTGCAGTGAATTGCCAGGTATCACACAGTCTTCTAACGATTGACTTTGAGCTGTGGATAGCCACCCGTTTTCTTCAGGACTAGAAGATCCTTCAATACTATCCGCAAAGGATCTGTAGCTCATTCGGGTAGTGTCACACTAACCCAGCCATTATTTCACACTCGGGGTTCCCTGTGAAGTAAAATGACCCTGGGTGTGTTTACGACGATCCTGGAAACAGGACTCAGTTCTGCAACTTTTCAATACCATCAGCGAGCGTTTACTACTCGGAGGTTTATCTCATTTGTTTATACGGCGTTCCGGAGACGTCCTACATCAATAGTTGTGTCATTTTGAAACGAAAATTACAAGGACTTCATTCTTATTCAATGAAAACTTTACTAGATTCGTGATCTTGCGACTTTAGGGGCACGCAATTTACTTTGAAAGCAATGCAGTGACATTCACAAATCAGCTGTCCATATAGAGTGGAATAATAGGTGTAGTTTGAAGATTGAAGCCATTACATGGTTTTTAACGTAAATGCCAACGTGGAATGGGATGGTGGCAAAAATTAATTAATGGTCGGTAACCTAAGGAGATCCAATATTCGACAGGCGAGCGAATACTTCAGGTTGTTCCCGATTTAACCAACTATTCAATGAGCTATTACTTAAAGAGTGGCAAAGGAACCCATTAGTTGCAAACTGTAGACCCCAAGACAGGTCCGCGTGCTCTCAAACGACAGTTGAACAAATATTCGATAACTGAAGCCCTCGGATGGATGCCTATTCGTACCAGCCAGTTAGGGTTAGCAACACAACCGTTGCCAGTCAGGACGATAAGTGAATTTTACGAGGAAAAATATAACGATCATTGTGAGTGTCCTCTAATGAAACCGATATTCCGTAAAGCTGATCAGTCGCGGTGAAGAGATTGTCATAGCCTCACCACGAAATATGTATTACTACCAGGCCTGATCACAAGGAATACAGTGGAACGGCGTACTGAGTCTATCCTTTTGTAATACATTTGGATCGGTTTTAAAACATCGGGCATTTTGGACGACAGTATAGTGTATTACCTTTTTTCAGGGGATTCTTGAATATGTTGATCATTTCACTTTCGCAAGAGAAAAATCCTCGCTAATTTATACAGAAAATCGTTCATTTGTAGCAATATTTCGGTGCCTAGCTGCCATGCCACCCGAAGGAAGCACGAGGGCTGGGATACTGCCAGGTTGCCCAAACATAGACAGGGGAAGTCGAGAGACGGAGGTCGGGCTTGAACCACGGAACTTCCGATCAGTAGATTTATACAAAACCAACCTGGTTTCGCATTATTCCGATTAAATTGTCCTTCTCTGTGCGCTTGTATGTAACGTCGATGCATTGGTTAGCGCCACATGCAATTTTGTTTTAGCATTCTTTCATTTCATCGTTCTCTTACGATTTTGACAAGAACATAGCTGGAGATGTATGCTGTGCGGTCCAGTTTGCGTCGTTCTCGTTATTTGTTTCGGCGTTTGAGTTTTCAACCGCCCACTGTCCATCCAACTGCCGCTCCCAGCTGCAGTTTACAGTCTGTCCCAAATTGCTCTGGTTCTACTAATTTTCCACATCCTAATCTTTGGCACTTGCCTGTCATTGGACTGGTTTGTCTTTGTGCAACAAAAGGTAAATATTTCCGATTTTCGAAGATTTCCTCTTCTCTAGATGATGTGTTCGATGCAATCAAATCGAAAAAATATCGCTATATTCAAAAGTGGGTTTTCGTTTCGATGGTGAAACCATTAAAAAGGTGAAGAATTATGAAAGAAGATAAGAATTTGTGTGATGTTCGCCATCCACTCGGTTGGACACCTTTAATGCTTGCCGTTGTCCTCCGCGATGTGGAGTAAGTTCTTACTTTTTGATGTTACACCTTCTGTAGGATGACAAAACAGCTTTTGGATCTGGGCGCGAACCCAAATTTGGTTGACCAGTATCCTGGATCGCTGAAACTTGCACGCGAAACACACGTGTATCATGGCGACAGTATAATACCCGTTCTATTTCTCTTATCCTTTGAATAACTACTCTTTTAGTTGAGTGGCGGAGGCTAACTCAATTCACGGACTTCTTGAATCCATCGGCTGACTTTCGAGGGTGTACTGCACTTCATTACGCGGTTCTGGTGAATGATCTTAGCCTCGTACGGCTGCTGGTTGACAAAGGTATAAATAATAAATGCCTAATGATAGCCCCAGTGTCATTAAATCATCTGTGTATTCATAGATTCGTACCATATTTTAGCTGTACCACCGATTGCACATTAAACAAAATACGCACGTTTGTAGGGCTCTCGAAGTCATTGTGAACAAATACCCATTAGGTCAAACTTAGGAAGGTTTTCATCCCACCTGTGAAAATCCTGCCAATCAAGTCGTTGAGCTGTGACGTTTACCGATGTTTACTAGAACGCAACATTCAGAAACCATGGTATTTGAAATACCACCAAAGTGTTGAGGTTTTGGCATGTTTGGCAACAATTTTGGGAAATGTTGGTCAATACAGGATTGGATGAACATTCCTATTATTATACACATTGCTGGTTGATGGGGGAAGGGGATTAAGATAGAAACATCGACTGAGACAACGTTGATCCTCGGGAAAATGAACATTAATAGTGTAAAACATTACACCGTGTATGTCTACGAATATCAACGTTAGCCCTAGTTTTGAACCGTTGAAAATCATAGGATGTATCATAGGTATGTGTGTCCTGTACATAACATGGATAGGACATAGAAAACTTCATAGCGGAAGAGAGTTCCAAAGTGAGGCAGTCCCTGGAACAGTGAAGAGGAGACTAGTCTTGCTTTGCAGCAAAAGACTGGGATCTCGTGAGGTAGGTTGAGAGAGTATCAGCAGGTTGGCCATCTTAGGGATTGTAGAAAGCGATGAATATCGTGAGTTCAAATGAGTATTAGCCGCGGAAGTAGCGTTACCATAAATGAGCGAATTATCGCTGTTAGAGAGCGTTGGAGGTTGTCGGTCGTAGAATGGGAGTCAGGGTGATATGCTGCCCTTTGAGTAGTGACAAAAAGATAAGGACATGTGGTAGGAACAGACATGACAGAAATATTTAATATTGAAGCAAATCTGAGGCCTATAGAAGATGTGGGATGGAGAAGTATTCACGGGTATATCTTTGTAATGCACTACTCATAAGGTTGCTGAAAATTGGTCGACAACCCACGACCGGTTTCGCCCTTTTTGGGGCTCATCACGGGGCTGGAAAAGGAGGGCGCTCATGGGGGACCAGTTATCATCAGAAAGATGGGCCAAGGACAGGGTGGTTGTACATCAAGTTTTCATTATTCAAGGGAAGGGGAATGGGGCGCTATAAGTGGATTTGGATAGTTTGGTGGTAGCTGCGTTCAAGGAACTCTAGTCTCTCAGCATACCACACTTCGTTCTTATAATCCGGAGTGAGCAAGCTCACTGGGAAGGGCAAAAATTGTAACTCTGTGGGATTGCTTCATGTTTAGAGGCTTGGGTGTAGGCAGAAGGGAAGCTTCAATGTGTAAACAGATGAAGCAGTAAGACGGACTTAGCATAACTTGGAAACAACCTCTGTTGTTCCTGTTCATCTGTTAGGGTGCACTTCATGTGGGTCGTTTTTCAGAGAAGATTTCACTTCAAATTCAGGATACAATCTATATGTTGCTAGCGGGTCACTCATTTTCGCATACTGTGCTTGGTGTGACTCATGTGGTGGTTGGCTCAAGCTGTCATTACCGCCGTTCAAACTAAGGGGACAGAGTTGATAGTCGTCGAGAGCTTCTTTAGTTTGCTGATCGGGCAAATGACCTACGAATGCTAATGTGGCGAAGTTAGCTGCCAACCAGTTGTGATGGAAATACTACTGGAGCATGGTTATTTTCGGACCGGCCTCGTGGTTCCCAGTAAAATACCACAACCTCCCAGTGACTTTCACAGGCCAAATACACAACAGCGCCATAAGATACAGTATCCATTATTTTATATATCTAAATAACAGTATATGACACTGGCTTATCTAGATGGCTGGATGTTGCGAATGGTACTGCAACGATGAGTCTCACGCACGCTGAATACTCGTGAATCGGCGGAATATAAAATCGGCAGTCTCCTATCTATGTGTGCTACGCACTGAATAAAGGCATGAAACCCCAGTGCACTCCATCGAACGGTGTAATAAACGGTAATAATAACAAACTAGCCAGGATCCCAGGGTTTACGACTATCTGGCAATTATAATTTGAGTTCGTGATGGCTCGCTTAGGATAAGAGTACGTGTATATGTATATATGGTCCACAACAACAGTGATTCGACCAACCATGCAGGATCATTCAGACGAATTCAGATGGGAAAGTTCCTTCGATCGAGGCGAACTGTTGTTCGCGCGTTTTGCAAAACGCAAAAAGCCTCACCAAGTTACTGAGTTGTATGAGGATGAAACGTGGATTCTACCATCTCACCCAAGCTCATTCGAGGAATTTCTGTCGCCCCCTCAATTTGGTCGAAACACCAGAAGTATTGTGTGTGTACTGTAGAATGATCTCTCCCCTTGTGTGAACCAGTTATTGTCAAATAAGATGATGGTTTCGCGGACTGGTTGTGTTGATTTAATGAAGCACTGTAATAAGTTGATTGGTAAGTACTCACCAGCCACCAGACGTATGCACCCTGTTGGACTTCGTTAATTCTGGTCACTGAAGTGTTGAGGGTGTCGGTGAAGTATTTTATTTTCCATAGTTTATTGATGTAATTCTGGCTATTTTTTCACTATTGATGAAAGGTTAGTGACAAATTTGTTATTTTCAAATTATTTGTCATTGTAACTCTATGTGCTCTTAACGCACCAGGAACTATACTTGACATGAGGACTGTCGTTTCGAGCCCTTGGCGTTTGATTACTAGCTGTTGATTAGTTCTACGTCTTCATAAACCAACTGTGTTCCTAACCTCCGCATATTCTTGGGAGAATAATTCTGCTGAACAGCAAGCAATTTTTAAAATTGTGAATCACGATTTATCAGTCAGCGAGGCGTTTCTATCTGTCTGGTGTTGGTAAACGATTCATGATTGAAGCTACAACTTGTTAAGTGTTTTTTCGTTCTTCACTTTTGGTTTTTCTTGCTTCATACAGGGGCCGACGTCAGTATTGTCAATGAGCGGGGTCATAGGCCGATCATGTATGCAAAAGACCGCTCAATAAAAGAGTTACTATCCAAGGCAGAAACCGAGGTACGTCATTCTGAATCTCCCATCCATTTCCCCCATAGTGGAATTCGTCAGTGTCCTAAAATACTTTCGGGGTGTGGGTAAACATATCTACCAATCGGCAAATGAACCCTTGTAACTGTGCACCATTTTATCGTAGTTATTATGCAGATGATGCGTTATCCGCCAATACTCTGTACCTTAATAGCCCAAGTAACACTATCTCGATAGATGGGGTGACAGAACTGCGCTGTACCGTAACGTGGAATTTCCATGTCATGCCCTAGGGCATGAATACACAATCTACTGAAATAGTAAAAAGTAGTGACAACCAATTAAGAAAAAATGACAAAACGATCCGTCTGTCGTTTCGCGAATCGACCGAAAATTTTGGGCTAAACAAGATACACCCCCCAAAAAACAGATGGGAACGATGAGGTTGGACTTAGAAAAGTATTTGCCCATGGGACTGTTTCGTCGCACCCCTTTGTCACACGCCGGCACTGTGAGCGATGAAAACGTACACGATCTTAATTAGCTCATGGAGACCTCCACTCCCTATTTGCTTAAAAAACTTACGTCAGAGGAGCCAGTAAAAAAGTTGTTAAGTTAGTTTCTCTGCTGGCCATCGCGTCAGTTTTTAGGTGGTTTCGGTTTGTCAGACCCGTGTCCCTAAAACAAGCCTTTTTGGTCCGCGCTAAGGCCTTGGGAATTTTGTCATAATTATGACCAGTAAGCTCTTCAGATCTTTTACTCGCGCTCCGAGTTCTCCAGCACAGTGGTCTTCCTTGTTTATCACACATGGTTTTCACTTGTCTTCCCCCCATTCATTCTTCGTCTTAGCTGGAGAAGAAAAAGGCTGAAAAAGAACGTGAAGAAAGACGGCTACAACCATTGGAATCTCGTCTGCGAAAGGCATTAGTTGGTCAGGAGGCGGCTATTCGGACTGTCAGCGCTGGTGAGCCACTTCTTAATTGGTGTTCCTGTCATACGTTTGCTACCATTTGCACAGAAAATGCTCTTTTTCCAAATCGCAGTGTACTATTTAGTGATGGATGTTACAGCCGCGCCATGGCCTTGTGACAACAGTTCCAGTTACTGTGTTTGGAAAATGACCCTGTGGTGGGGGACTCATCGCCTGCTTTTCATCCAGCACGTTCCGTACGTTTTCCACCCTACCACCTGAAATCAAACTAGTCAGTCCGAGAATTATCTGAGAGGAGTCATGGTAATAATTTTAAAGTTTACGGAATCCATGAAATGCGCTCATTCGCACACCAGTTCGGTTTTTGGTGGGAGACTTAATTTCATCCCAACTGAATCTCTCGTTTATGCTATTCTATTTCGAGCTAGGTTCTGATTTATGCGACCCGTCGTTAGCCGGGTGGTCGTATTCTTATAAGCCGCACACGGAAAACAAAATCCACTAAGTTTGTCACTTGCCTCACCTCGAATTAGATTCTGCTTTATGCGACCCGTCGTTAGCCGGGCGGTCGTATTCTTATAAGCTACACACGAAAAACAAAATTCACTAAGTTTGTCACTTGCCTCACCTCGAACCTTGACATAACCCTAACGTATTTCCGTGTTGACTTCTGCTTTTCCGTACGGCACCGGTTAAAAAATCGTAGATGGCAATTACAATATTGGTTTTTGTCAAGGTTTTATCTCACCATTTGTTGGTGAAAGTGCGGTCTGTGATATCGGACCAGTTTTCCGCATCCTTGTTTTTGTCGTCGTTTTCTCGTCATTGTTACTTTTAATCGTGGTCTGTTGTATTCGCTACTGACCCCTTATAATTTGAAGCGCAAAAACATATTTATTACTTCGAACAAGTTTGTCTGTCTCTCATCGAGCCAGGTATACCCTCTTACAGTCCATGGATTGGAGGCAACGGCCATAGTACTCTGTGAACCACACTGCTCACAGTTCAGGGTTCTTCATGTAAGTCAGATGATGCCACAAGACTTTATTGTATTAAAGACTGGCGACTTTTTTGAGGAGAAGTCAGTCCCTCAGGTGTGTGCCTCCACCGAACCTTTAACCACAATCGATGTTGAAACACTTTTTATTGCAATTGATTATAATCTTTGTGAGGTCAATTGGAGGTCAAGCATACCAGCCTGAGAGCAAGCACGTCGGGTATCGCAAACTGCGATATCTCGAATATCGTACCAACTGAAACGTGGGGCGGCCTGGTGCAGCACACTCAGTTGAGCAGGATATCATAAGCGAGGTATTAAGCTGGGTTTCAGGCAAGTCTCCCGTCAAAACCAGATTGGTGTGCAAGTAAGCGTATTTGTCGAAACCAGTCTAATTTGGGTTCAAGTAAAATATGAGGTTGACAGAAACTCGGGAACTGCGCCTACCTGATGAGCGACTGTCGAAGAATTTTCGGCAACTTTACGAGTAGTACATTACGTACATACGTGTCGCGATATCTCGAATATCGTACCAACTAAAACATGAGGCGGCCTGGTGTAGCACATCCAGTTGCCTAGAAACGAGAGATTCAGCTGGATTCCAGGTGAGTCTCCCGCAACCAAATTTTTTCGCTCATACTGATTTACTTGGAAGAGTTGCTGCTTCGCTTCAAATTTGTCGCAGTCTACGAGAGATCACGATTAACTGGTCCACGTAAGCGGACCAGTGGAAAAAAATTGCTAGTTCCGCCGAAATAATTTAATTGTCTGGTAGACGGAAGCTGTTTTCAAATCCACCTGACTGTGTGAGTGAAAATTCTTTTTCGGCTCTCGAGTTTCCAGGCCAGACCGCAAAGGTGCCCCACTCTATATGTATCTTGCGAAAAATTGCATTTCAGTGGTTTGTCTGGAGACAGCTGATCTGTTCTGTGAGCTGCTAGTATCCGATGCCGTCGGCGAATCTGTAACGAGATGAATAAAAAACGCGTACTTGGATGTGCACCGGACTCCTCAGTTACGAAAATCATCCAGCACCAACCGACTATGGTGGGTCAGCCATGTATCGCACATTTCGAATCTCCGTCTACCGAGACTAGTACTGATCTTAGCGCCTCCTTCAGAACGGAGTGCTTGAGGTTACGAAGAGTCTGAGTGTTGCCTATGTGATCCGGCTTCCACACTGGGACCTTGTGCCCCAGGTTCTGGGCCGGATAGGTTGCAGGAAATAATGGTTAATCATCATCAGTAGCGTCCAGTTCGATTGGATGTCGGTGGTTGTAGGTACTTCAAAATGCTTCTGGTAGATTGGTAATAGTTCCCTTCTCCGTTCGATCTTGTTTAACTTTAAAACTTTGATTGTGGCTGTACCTAGTAAACCATCAGTGCCAATACTGGTGTTATTGTCTCTCGTGCTTATCATGAGGATGTTGGTGATGATAGTGATACCGATTGACTTTTGGTGCTATCTATAATCAGAGGACTCTGTAAGATGAGATATTCCAAAAGATAGTTGATTTACCCTTCCAATTACTTTCTCATGCCATATGTGTTTCTCCCTTTGGCACATATCAAGCACTAACATTTATGCCGATGGTGGTTATTGTCTGGCGTTTCCATTTATACCCTTTTCTCGTTTTGTATTTACACAACGGACAGACTGAAATATTGGTAATTCGGGTACGTTCATTGGTGGTTGATCAGGTGGCCTTTGATCTGTTTGTTGATTTTGGCAAATAGCTTGTAGATGCTTCGTCACTAATCGAGGAGACATCATCAGTGCGTGGGGGGGGGGGTGGTTGACCACCAAATCTCAGTTGGTGATAAACTGCTTCTAAGCCAATTCCCAAGCTCGGCTTACAGCTTACGGCCACCTAATCAACCACCAATGGACGGATAAGAGTCTTGTCAGAAGACGGGTTTTCCAATCGCCAGAAAACGCACATCTGTTGTCCACTATTGGCATTCGCATGAAGGCGGCGCACTTTTTCCTCACTGAAATTTCAACGCACACACACACGTGGTTGGTTACTTCATTCGATTGCTTCACCAAGGGCACGCTACGACGTCACTTATATCAATAGAGCTTTTAAATTGCGGGCCTTGAGACACCGATGCATGCCAGTCATATCGTCCGATCGATCGTTCCAGCCAAGATTATTTACTGTGCACTCTCTGGTCGTACCACCCATACTGCACTTTACTAGTTAAGGCCAGATTGCAGCCAGATACCAAGCAGGTACATTGCACAGCTGAGCGTAGTCGCCTGCATCATCAGAAGTGGAAATCGTATTAATCGATCCTCCTTGCTGCTGAAGTTATCCGGTATTGGTTACACGCACCAATCATTTCTATGTCATGGACAGACAGTTGGTGGTTGGGTATGATTCAGCGGGGGAAAACCTAAAAGCACAGGCCTTGTAAGATTTGTCAGAAATTTCCAAAGGAAATCATCAAAGCCTCGCATGTTTCTCTCTTCACATGAATAACACATGGGTTGAGAGGGAAACTTAACAGGTGGTTCCCAGCCCTTAGCAAGGATGAAGGATATTCAGCTGTTTGGAAATTCTTTGAAATGATACATCTGGGACAGAACTGAACAAGCGAATGCGTTAAAGAAGTAGTATAGGGTCGGATACCTTGAAGTTTGGCACTCTATCACAGTTTACTGATGTTTAGTGGACGAGGATTTTATAACATTCGGAGCTACTCACTTGTGTAGACAGTTCCTTTCTGGGGTGAAATATCTGGAATCATCCCGTCCCATCGAGTTGGTTGACAGACCACTTTTATGCTTGCAACCAGCACCCTGATTTCACGAGCCGTTACTTTTGACCAGGCGAATGCCAGTTCCTGGTGTGTCATCATCAGGAGTTGCTTTACGAAGCTGTGCTAGGGATGTGTTTCATGATGTATAACTGCGACTTTAAAAGTCGAATTTGTCATTTTGGTGTAATTAGGCGGATGCGGATGCATGTCGAATGCGGCGGACTAGCTAGTGATTTAAAACGTTGCATGAAGGCGGCGCACTTTTTCCTCACTGAAATTTCAACACACACACACACGTGGTTGGTTACTTCATTCGATTGCTTCACCAAGGGCACGCTACGACGTCACTTATATCAATAGAGCTTTTAAATTGCGGGCCTTGAGACACCGATGCATGCCAGTCATATCGTCCGATCGATCGTTCCAGCCAAGATTATTTACTGTGCACTCTCTGGTCGTACCACCTATACTGCACTTTACTAGTTAAGGCCAGATTGCAGCCAGATACCAAGCAGGTACATTGCACAGCTGAGCGTAGTCGCCTGCATCATCAGAAGTGGAAATCGTATTAATCGATCCTCCTTGCTGCTGAAGTTATCCGGTATTGGTTACACGCACCAATCATTTCTATGTCATGGACAGACAGTTGGTGGTTGGGTATGATTCAGCGGGGGAAAACCTAAAAGCACAGGCCTTGTAAGATTTGTCAGAAATTTCCAAAGGAAATCATCAAAGCCTCGCATGTTTCTCTCTTCACATGAATAACACATGGGTTGAGAGGGAAACTTAACAGGTGGTTCCCAGCCCTTAGCAAGGATGAAGGATATTCAGCTGTTTGGAAATTCTTTGAAATGATACATCTGGGACAGAACTGAACAAGCGAATGCGTTAAAGAAGTAGTATAGGGTCGGATACCTTGAAGTTTGGCACTCTATCACAGTTTACTGATGTTTAGTGGACGAGGATTTTATAACATTCGGAGCTACTCACTTGTGTAGACAGTTCCTTTCTGGGGTGAAATATCTGGAATCATCCCGTCCCATCGAGTTGGTTGACAGACCACTTTTATGCTTGCAACCAGCACCCTGATTTCACGAGCCGTTACTTTTGACCAGGCGAATGCCAGTTCCTGGTGTGTCATCATCAGGAGTTGCTTTACGAAGCTGTGCTAGGGATGTGTTTCATGATGTATAACTGCGACTTTAAAAGTCGAATTTGTCATTTTGGTGTAATTAGGCGGATGCGGATGCATGTCGAATGCGGCGGACTAGCTAGTGATTTAAAACGTTTGAAGACCCTCGCGCCAGATTACTACTGACACCAAGTTAGTTTTCGCAACTCTGAGATGGCCCGATGAGAGCCTGCTCCGAAATTTGTGTGCAACCTCCGTTTTCGCCTGATGAGTAATATAGAGATGAAGTTTACCGAACCACACACTGGCAAATCAACTATGATATTCATGGACATTTCATACATTAGGCTAAAAGGTACAGCTAGCGTGACGAAAACGTCAGTGTAACGACCATGAGTAACGCTCTGGGAAACCTTTCTTATTGTGCTTTTTGTTAGAGTACTCTCAAGTTCTGGTGAAAAGTGGAAATGCCCCGGTGATGTCAAAAAACAGGTCCTTGCACAGCATGACCCAACATTAATACGCAGCAGCATTGCTGATGGACACTTCTGAAACTCGCGTATGTCGAAGATTCCCAAACTTGAGGTGTTTTACCGCAGGGAGTAACCGAGCACGAATGTTTTTTGCATACTGGACGCGGATACAGCGGTTTCCACTAGTAGGGGATTTTCCCACGAGATGGCGATTTTTATGCTCCTTGAGCTTTTACTATAAAATGCACTTTTGACAGGACACCCGTGACGACAGTACGCTCGAACGAATGTCAGCTCGTGCAAATAGTGTACCTATTGTAGATTTCTCCAACCCTCGGCGATATCCTCATTACTCCATAACAACATCTTTTAACTAACCAAATCGGTATGACAATATCTCTAATGCTCGCGATATATCCCATACGGGAACGATTGCCTGGTGACACGGACACAAGTACTTGGTCAGTTATAGCGGGTCACCACAACCTAATATCGATCGACACTGAGTTTCACCTAAAACCGTACTCTACGTTTCTGATTGATCTTCTGTTTTCAAAAGAAAAAAATAACCGGTAGCCTCTCACTTCATGTATATGTCAGTGTGTTTGGACACCGAGGGAACATAAATAGCTTGAAACCTGTTCTTGTCCGGTGAGCGCGTTCTCGGAGCAACTATTAGTGATCGCTTATTATCAAACAAAGTCTAGATCGTGGAATGGCCATGTTGTTTGAGTGCCGACAAAATCCAAGGGAATTCTGGAATCTGAGGCCTGGTACGTCCATTCATGTCTATCAGTTTAACGTGCAAGTGATGGATGTAAGTTTGAAACAATGAATAGTAAGGGTAGAGTGAACCTACCCGGCCAAAATTTACCACCGCATCAGTGCTCCACGTAAGAATGGTTCCGGTTCAGTTTGATAAATTTGGTCCATGGGGAACAATTGAGACACGGTTGACAAAGTTTAGACATGACCGAATAATGAAATAAGCAGCTCAGGATGTGTTGCTGAATTTTATAAACCTAGTTCAGATCACACACAGAGCAGGTTGTTTTTATTGGTTCCCTGGCTTGTGTCCGGAGTTAGATCACTGCGCATTGCTCTTACGGAAAATTTCGTTAGCTCAGATTGCACGAGTGGTTTTTGACTAGTTCGTTGAGTTGGACGAGATGGCTCAAGTGGTTAGAGCGCGAATCTACTGACCGGAAGATCCGTGGTTCAAACCCGACCTCTAACCCCCGACTTCTGTCTAGGCTTGGGCAACCTGACAGTATCCCAGCCCTCGTACTCCTTTTGGGTGGCGTGGCAGTTAGGCACCGAAAGGGTGTTACAGCTAATTGATTATCTTTTTTGTTATCTGAGTTGGACAATCTGGTTATAGTGAAGTTGTCCAGTAGTAGTAGTAGTAGTGCTAAATACCTCTGAGAAGATGTGTTGACAACAAGGCCCAACCGTGTTGTTGTTGGTTGATATTGCGTAAATATCCCCATGGTTTGAAAAAGAACACAGCGACAAACATTAATGTTTTCGGGATCTCGTCATCAGGTCAGTACATACCTAATGGTTGAAATAGGAGCGAAAAGCGAAATACGCTACGAAGATTGGTTAGTGAAATGCAAAACGTGGATACACGAACGATTGGTTGTCTGCGCCTCCCCATGTCGCATCTAGTTGGATGCTGTCAGACAGTCAAGAGAGCTGTTGAGTGACTTGGCCGGTTGATTCGTGGTTGGTATGTTCACCGTGGCCACCAATAAGCGTACCCGACGTATCAGTATCTTAACACTGCTATGGCTAAGCGCCTGTTGCTAAAAAACGACACAGCGATTATAGCGATAGCTATCACCACTATATCTGAAAATGCAAGTGGTCCTCTTCAGAAAAGCTACCTGATACTGACTTCGTAAGTAGTCGAATGAAGTCTAAAAGTTTTTCATACTTTCTAATCTCTTCCGAGTTTTAACGAACCTTTATGGACAATGAATGTATTATGTCATCTTCCTCTAACCGACTTGTGGTGATGCGAACAAAGCTGATTTGGACGCGGCATACTCCTTATGATGGGGACAAACGAAAACGTCATGGTCCGCAGGTTCCACGAGACATGCTTGGAAAAAGCATGTTAAATTATCCAGAGAATCTGGTATTCCGATGTGATGCGATGCAGCGTCTTCTCATCACCTGACGAATCACTTTTAGTTTAACCTTGGTTGGTGATGGTGAACTTTTCAGCTCAGTGAGCAAACCAGCTGCTGGCGAGTACATTCAGTACAACTGCTGGTGAATATTTCTTCCATATCCATATACTTTTCTGATGTTGATTTTATTAGCATACAGTGACCCATGCATGTACGCATATTTATCCGCTCCCATTCGCCTCTGTCAGCTATTCGCCGCAAAGAAAATGGCTGGTATGATGAGGATCATCCACTTGTGTTCCTTTTTCTTGGATCCTCGGGAATAGGAAAAACGGAGTTGGCCAAACAGATAGCGGCCTATCTACACAAAGATGTGAAGAAGGGTTTCATCCGTATTGACATGTCGGAATATCAGCAGAAACACGAGGTATGTTTCATGTGCGTCTGCCATAGTTATTTAGCGTGTTCTTACGCGAATACGTGAATCCTCTTACAAAAGAGGCCAACACCAGGAGGGAGACTTTTTGACTTCTTTCGGGGATGGCCTTTCATCGGAGTTATTTCGCATGACCTAGCATCTTCATACTAGTAGTCATTTTACATCAAATGAAGAGATGTACGGCTTCCGTCACATTTGAGAACGGGCTAGCATTCCGTTGTGAATTTGTATTCCCTTTGTCCCTTCATTTTCAAAAGAATGAAATTTTTTTGATACTGTTTAAGGTTTGCTCTGAAGTGGCCACAGCCGTATTTGCTTTCTGGTCGTTGGTAATGTGGAATAGGTCTCGAGAAATACACACATTTGCAAATCAATCTGGTTTTCACGATAGGCTTAACTGAATCTCGCGTTTATGGTATTCTACAGCTGAATGTGCTGCACACCGGCCGTCTCATGATTCAGTTGGCATGATATTCGAGATATCGCAGTATATTTTCATAAAGGAAACTACTCATAAGGTTGCTGAAAACTTCGACAGCCCACGACCGGTTTCGCCCTTCTTGGAGCTCATCAGGTAGGCGCAGTCCCCGAGTTTCCATCAACCTTATGTTCTGCTTGAACCCAAATTGGACTGTTTTCGAGAATTACACTCATTTGCAAATCAATTTGGTTTTCACGAGAGACTCAACTGAATCTCTTGTTTATGATATTCCACAACTGAATGTGCTGCACACAGACCGCCTCATGGTCGTGGGCTGTCGAAGAGTTTTCAGCAAACTTGTGAGTAGTTTCCTTTATGGAATAGGTCTCGTTTCACAACAACCGTTACTAGCATCAAGGTTTTGGTATTGAATTGATGGGCAGTTTGCACCGTGATCTGCCATTGCAGACGCTCATGATCTGTCTGTGTGGCTTCGTAAAACAGCCAGATTGCAATCCTGAGGCTCTGTTATTTCTCGACTATACTGTCAGTGTGTCGTTGGCTTTGTCTGACAGATTTACATTGTAAACAAGACTTACATTAGTTGAACAGTGTTCCGTGAATTGTTTTCAACTGTACCGAGCGATAGACAATTTACCTGATAAATAACAAAGATATCTCTTCATTTAGCTCACCACTCATCTTTTTGCTGAGAACTTCGGCAACACGCTATCGGTTTCGCCCTTCTTGAGGCTCGTGAAATACACATAGCCCCTTAATTTCTATCAACCTCATGTTCCCTTTGGACCTCAAATTGTGCGTAATTTGCGAACTTCATTTCTTGCTCTCGTTAGCGAATCTCACGATATTTTTAAAATGAATGTGCTGCGCACAGGTCAATGGATGCGTGTATCTTGGCAGATTTATCTCGTTTCCCATTACGTAATCATCTTATGACCTGTACATCTGAATTAACAGCTATGCAACTTAGCTGTCCTCGGATGAATGAGCTGAACAACACAGCGCTGATGAGGATGACTACACCAACCACCCTTGAGCACGCTTTCAAAGCCACATGTGGTTGTTCGACGCGATGCACATAAATCATGGGGCCACCTTAAACTACGTCAAATGTTGTTGTGAAGTTGATTAGTATGTGCCAAGAATACACAGCAATACACACCGGAGATACCAGATATGTTGGAATATCCTGAGGGACTAACTTGCTAATTGAAGTAGTGGCGGGTCTTCTTGATTTTTGAGAAAATCATAGTCTTCATTGGGGAGTTGTACCATGGAGATTTCCGAAGATTCGCCGGTCCTTTTTTTGGGCAGAGGGATTTCTCCCATCAGTCCAATGGTAAGCTTCTCTGAACTTTCTGTCAAGACGTCGCTTTTCGGCGGGAACAAACTGGAAACAAGCTGTGAGTAGAAACGCCACAGAAAAGATTATGTATGTTTGACTAGTGATTATTGTTAGGTCTCTGATTAACAGAATCTCTTGTTTGTTTGACTATCTACCACGCAACCGAAATGGCAGTAGTGGTGGAATGTATGTTGGAGGACATTGAGTGAGGTAATGACACAAAATATAATCTTGATTGACAGTGAGCGCCCCGGTGCAAGTAAACATCAATAATCGGTTGCAATGGAAAGGGAAGTGTTTTTTGGAGGACGTAGTTAGGATGGAAATGGTCCTTTGTAGACAGACACCCTACCAAATCCAGTTTGAACTCTGTGCTCACAGAACTGCTGGCGCGGGTTTGCCCATGTCTGGGTAAACCTAACCTAAGTATGATCGGAGTACCTAGAACGACACTCGGTTCAGAGGATTATTTCGGCCGGAGGCTTCCATGGCGGGTGAACCACACCCTATGTACACAACATAGGGAGAGATGAAGAATGGTAGACCCAAAAGTGGAGTACGCATCTGCTTCCTTTATCACTTATGGAGTTTGTTGCACCCTTTAGCCTTATGTCCATTTCTCGGAACCACTTCGATAAGCCGTGTACTGTACAGAATTACCGGACATGATTGGTTGAGAGCACTGTGATAACTGTTGAACTGTAATTCCATAATGCAGAAAGCCGAAAGCTCCGCGCAGGCGACTGCACTATTATTTTCGGAGACTGAGATATCCGAAACCATAAAACAAGTTAACGACCTCGATAGTTCTAGAATGGTGACGTGAAAAGCAATGCGCTACGTGGGAAATACTTCTGCCTATTCGCTACAGACATCCGTAAGAGTAAGTGGTCACATGCCCCGAGAATCCATCACCTCGAGGTTTCTGGCACAGCCAATGATGAGTTTTTTTACTGAGGATAATTTGACGACAACCAGTATTGGAACGTGCGTGAACAAGTTGTTTCAGTGGTCTTCCTAACACGCGGTCAGTAAAAGTAACCGTAGACCAGGTTCTTCATGCAATTACTTGGTCTCATCTGAGATTACTTCAGGGTTACCTCGCATTTATGAAGGCATGGTCAGATATTGAACAGAAAGTGTGTATGTCTTAGTCTCAGAAAAAGAGGCAGGCAGTTAAGAGAACTGTTGAAGTTGATTGTCAGGGCAGGGCCACTGCTAGTGCATCCCGTGTTAATGGATCACCTTTTGAGGCAAATGGCAATGCAGTGCAGTGTGCCGTATCACACCGGAAGCGACTGGAAGTGTTTGGATTGTGGTACTTAGCTCTGTTGTTATGATTGTCCTCAGGTTGTCTGCGCTAAGGTTCCATCGATCTAGGTAGCTCCATCGCATCGTTCGATTGATAGTTAGAAGTCCAAGAGCATGGTTATCTAGCATTGTGAGTGATTAATTATGCACATAGAAGTGCTATTTTTCGATTTAAAAAAAAGAGAAGTTTGTGGCCAATGATAAAGGTGGAACGTTTTAATGGCGAATACAGCTGATGGGACTGCGTGAGCTATGGCCCTTTCAATTCCACCGGTAAAATTTGGGGAACAACTACTCCAATGCCGTAGTCATCCACCTTACAGTACAGAGATTTCCACTAGTGAACTGAAATGGATAAGTCCAGTCACAGTAGTCTTTACAGACTGACATTTGAATGACCAGTCCGAGGTCCCATTCTCTACTACCCTTAAGAGTTCGCTACGGAATATTACAATGGCCATGACTTTTGCTAGGCATATTGCGCTAATGTGCCATCATCAGTCTTACAAATCACAATACCAGAGTTTCCATGAAAGCACTAAGAGTCACCCCTTCCGCCAACTTCCACTATTACGGTTACTTTGGTGCACTAGTCTTGGGTTTCTGCCTTAGCTTATGCAATTACATTTTGCTGATATCGTACGTGTCAGTAGTAGCCTCCTCGATTTAGCCTTCTGTCAGCCGCTTATCTTTGGTGCCAACTATATCCCTCCCGTAGGCGCTCGATTTTTTAGTATGTGCCGCTGGCACAGGGAACAAGCAATCTAGGGGCCCTCGATTTGCTGATACGTCAGTCATTTTCAGGAACTTCTGAATCTGTCCGAAACCACCGACTGTGTGGATCTGGTTTTCGTCCCACTTCTGAGTCTACCTACGCAGTCTACTTTTTCTGCATTATAGAAGGCGATTGCATGAGGTGACTGGTCTTTTGTCTCATAAAAGATTGGTGTGGTTGGGCAATGGAAAAATTCGATTAGTGTAGAAGGCCGTTGGCGAGTCACTCAAAATGTCCGAAACGATGCTTTCCACCTGGTTTATATTTCAGATTTTGCTGATTAGGTTGTATTCTTTGAAGTATGCTGCGTTCCGAAAGGACTGTCATTGCGTTTTTATCCAAGTGGGTTGTGTCTGTTTGATCGACCACGATTCGTTTCTCGTTTTTATCCTCTCACCCGACCGACTGCTGACATGACAAGACGTTATCCCGCCCTATTTTCCGTTCAGGTTTCCAAGTTTATTGGTTCCCCTCCTGGCTACATTGGACATGAGCAGGGAGGTCAGCTGACCCAGGCTCTCTCTGCCTGCCCAAATGCCGTGGTTCTTTTCGATGAAACAGAAAAGGCACACCCGGACGTTCTGACAGCCTTGCTGCAGTTGTTCGACGAGGTATGTTGCTCTTCTCTATTTCGAAGTCAGTACCACACGTTTACTAGTTGTAAACGCATGAGTCATTAGGTAAATGACGTAGGTGGTTTGCGTTGTTTCAGAGGGGGAACTCTTCTTTGGACCGACCTCAGACTCCAACACTGTCCTTGCTCATTCGAAGAATGCACTGCCACTGTCGTATGAAGGTGACATTTTTTGCATTCCTCATCTCCTTTAAAATTCCTCCCCCCCTGAATACGCTACTTCAAACGGTGTGCTGAATTTGGACGGATTAGTACGTAATGTGGTTTCAGTAGACGAGGTTAGAAATGCAGAGCTCAGCGATTGTGGTGTCTGCTCACTTTCAGCAAGTCGCCTTTTGATTATTCAGAAAAGCGGAAGTCTGTACCATTCTACAGACTTGTGTGCACCACAAAACGTATACGTAAACATGGGGTGAACGGTATTAAGGCAAGCATTATTACGAAATCCGGCCTCTGCCATCAAGTTACTGACTGTGATTTTCGAGTGTACGATGATGGACCAAGAGGTAAGCTATCACAGTCAACACTGACAGTGAAGTGAGAGCGCACCCCATATCAAGTGCGGTAGATATACTCATGTTGATTTTTTGCAGGGAAAACGTCTGAAAGATGTGATCACGAAAAGGCTGCCAATCGGTCAATGCTCACCTTCTTTCTTGGGAAAGCAGACATTCTATGTATTCATACACGTTTTTGAACACTAGTTTCGAGTCTTTCGTCCTGTCCTACTGTCGGCTGTTATGCTTTTTCTCATGGTGGACGTTTCTATGCCACATTCGACATCATCTTTGGACTTATTATGAAGAATGAGATAGCTAGACCACTGAGCACTCCTCAGTATTCTACGAAAGTTGCTTCCACCGTCAATTCTCTGCTGGGGCCACATGACGGTTGGTGATAATTAACATGCAGAAGCCCAAAATTAAAAGTGTACCATGACTGTCCGAGTAAGTTAACCAGCCTGCCTGTTGTGAGGCACGTGAATTCAACTAGACAGAATAGTGTATTCCTGGACGTGATATGAAATTTCAACTGAGAACTCGGCTGCTGGTGGGTATTTGATCATACCTCATTTTTGCCTCTTTGTGAGAACGTTCGCATTCACTAAGGTGTTATTTTTTAACAACAGCTTCAACAGCACCATCCACATTAAACGCTCAATCCGATTGATTTTTTCACTCTTTGTAGGGACGTTTGACCGACGGGCGTGGGCACACGATTGATTGCAAGGATGCTATTTTCATTATGACTTCCAATGTAGGCAGTCAGGTGATCGCAGAACACGCACAAGCGCTGCGGCAAGCTTCTGGTGATTCAGGTTGGTTTATTGTTATCCGCTTGCTTGTCACATGTATGCACAGCACCTATTCATTCGATTGGAAGGCAGCCGTGGTAATGATTACTGGCGTGACTGATTGAAGGTTAGGAGTGACAGATTTCTCACAAGTCGAACATTTTTACCACAGATTTTCAACATTGTCAGCTCCCGGGAAGAATTCCTCGTCGAAGGCTGCGGTATTTTATTACGCACTCGGGAAGAAGAACCGGTATAAGAGACTAGTGCAGAGTGCAAACAGCGTATGGCGACACAAAATCAAAATGCTGTTATTATGGCCAGTCTTTAATACTTGTAGTTATTCAAACAGAACCCCAAACGAGGGACTTGGCGTGTCGGACAACATAAGCCCCTTGTACGTCGTGCTCCCAGACGACACATTGAGTTGCTAGATTCGTTCGGTTTCAAGAAACTTCAATTCGCTTTTCGCAGCTGAAACATTCTACTACAGTCGAGCTCAGTAATAAGGAACATCGTGGAGCCGGAAAAGCTGTGGTGCGATGGTAAAATCATTTAGGCACAAAACAGACCTTTTCTGTCAGTCTGTCTAATCGCTGAAATTTCCTTTCTAATTTACGTAACCAACCGATTTTATTATCAGAAACACAACTTACGCTTGACCTTGACTACCAACTTTGGCCAAAGTGGTTAGTTCACGAATTTACTGACCGGAAGGTCCGTGGTTCGAATCCGACCTCCGCCACTCGACTTCCCCTGTCTAGGCTTGGGCAACCTGGAAGTATCCCAGCCCTCGTGCTTCCTTCGGGTGGCATGGCAGCTAGGCACCGGAAGGGTGTTACAGCTGAACGCTTTCTTTCTTTTCTCTTTTCCACCCCAATTCTGTTTGCCTGGACAGTACTTTAGATTTTCATGGTAATATCTGTGAATTTGGTTTTACGCGCAGTTGGACGCCGACTTTACGAACTCGGTCACCGTGAACTACCCGCTCTATGGACGAAATAGCATCCCCCAACGTAGTGAAGGGAGACACTTAATGGTCATCAGAATCCAATGGCCAACAGAGTGAAGTCTTTTTAGACCCCTCGGCATCTTAGACTTTTCTGCATTCTTGCCACCTAATATGACTGCTTACCATTCCTGTTTTTGTGGATCTGTCTTTTAACCCAAGCCTGAGCTCGTCCATAGAACAGTGAGGAATGGTCGATCAGAATTTCCCCTCGAACAGCTGATTGTTTCGCTTTGTTCTATGCTCATCGGTTAGACGCAGTTAGCGTAAGAACACTGTAAGCGAGAGTCTGAACTGGTGCTAATCTCTTTTACGGTGCAGCTGAGTTGCCAATGCAATGCACGTATTCCTTTGTGTGCTTTCCGCGTCATCATCAGATGCGTCCAATGTGCGTTGGTGGAGTAATGGTTACACACTCACCTCGCATGTCAGATGTCCGGGGTTCAAATCCCGACACAGCCATTGGATATGCACTGCTGATGAGCTCCAGTAAGAGAGAAACTCGAGTCCAGTGCTTCCCTTTGGTGTGGACTCACCGGAATAATTACGCCAGAACAAGAAATACGACCGTTCAAACGAAAGTGGTGTGACTATGAACAGAATCCCTATCCCGCTAAAAACCCCAAAATTGTAATCCGGTAACATTAACCCTGCCTTCTCTCACCTACATCTTTAGAAGCCGTGCCTCGCTGCCTATACCATTTTTTCGAGGCGTGAATTTATTGTGTACGTTTTTGTGATGGGAATGTCGCTGACTAGCTACGAGTGTTAGTGCTAACAACATTCCGGAATGTTCGTTCATTATGACGATCTCTTGAGATTATTGAACACAACGGTGCGTGGGAGGGGTGCACATGTGACTTTCACTTCCTAATGTCTTCACACTGTTTACGTGATCAGCCTTATTTATGACTGAAAACCCAGTCCGTTGTACCTTTAGTTATTTTTTGTCAGCCTCGGTTCCGCACTATTTTACACTGGACTGTCGCTATTTTTAAGGTGAAAGTATAACGTATGGGTGTAGAACTTACCACCTTTATTCAGACCTGATATTACCGCCAAACGGACGTGTATTCTTGTCAGTTCGCCCCAATAATGATGGAATTGGAAGTCACTCGAAGGGATTATCGATTCCAGTGACCCGAGTTTTTTTGGAATTCCAAATGTTAGTTGAGTTTTCCTACGAATGTGGGTAGATTGATCTTTACTTCCTCTCAGGCATCAAAGATGAGGAAGTATGGGTATATGCTCGACGTTTTTCTAAAGGTGGTAACAGCTGCTCATTGGACGCTTGGTTGAATAACGGCCGGTGAAATTCACAGAAGATACGAGCGATAGTTGTGGAGTCTTTTTATCCTTTGTACATGCTTCAGTTTGCAAAGAGAAACTCTACTAACCACGCTTAGTATGTGCCCGCGGTTCAAAAGTGACAAAAAACTAACAGTTGGTTGATCAGGGACGTCCATTGTTGAACTGCTTTGCTTGTTGATGCTTTGACATTTCGTTCCATCCAATGAGTTCGTCCCCGTTCTTGTCTGGTTGTTTGTTTTGTGCGTGTAGCCCTTCTGGTTGGATGAATCTCGATGGTGATACACTCGAGTCCAACAATTACACTTTGTTACTAAGGCTGACCCTGAACCTTGGACCTGATATTCATGAGAATACTGCTGCTATCTTGTCTATAACCACCTTCCGGTTTATTATATTCATAATACTCAACATCGGTTGTACTCTTTCCTCTGCCTGTTGACTTTGCACTGAGTGACTCAGACTGTTAGTTTTTTTTTGGGTACGACGGGCCCAAATTGGAGCTTTGTAGCACTATTTTGAAGGAGTTGCTCGTAGGTTTTTGTTACCTTCCGTCCCACATATGTGTTCTTTTGTTGTTAATTATAGTGTATTGTTTATTTCAGAGGCTGATATCGAGTTATCACGTGACTTTAAGGAGAATGTGATGCGTCCCATCCTTCGAGTGAGTAGCTGTCATCTGTTGTCCTACCCTATGTGCTATTCTCCCGTCTACTTTCCTTTTTGTCTTCCATTTCTGTAGTCTTTCCGGGGGCCACAAAACCCTAGTAGGCTTTCTCTGTATTTAGTAGCAATCTGCCATGCATTGGTAGTAGCTGTGGCCAATAATATTAGAAAATTGTTTCACATTGTTGTAGTGAATTTGAGCTCAACCCTGTTCCGGTTTCTCTTTGTATAGCATAATTTCCTCCGTGATGAATTTTTGGGACGAATCAATGAGATGGTCTATTTCCTTCCTTTCTCCACTTCGGAATTGACGCAGTTGGTCTACCGTTATTTGTCGACGTGGCAGGAACGGGTGAGTTCTGGCGCTGGGAAAGATTGCTATATCTTCAGGTTATCGCCCATCAATTATCCGGATAGGTTCACCAATTTCCCTTAGTCGACAAAACTATCTCCACATGTTTGTTGGAATAGTCGGACATGATGATGAACTTAGCATTGAAAATTTAGGGTCTATTTAGCAAGGTCTCAGGTTCAAACAGTTTCGCACCTTTGGAATTATATTACACTGGTTCCCGTTCCTCAAATAGGAAATCTCATAACCAAAGAAAATCCAGCATTCACTTTTATCTTCCACGTATCGCTTTTGGGCTGACCGTCCTTTTAACTCGTTGCATTCGGCTTTCATGACCCTTGCCAGGTAGCCTGAATTGGATGCCAGTTTGTGTAGTAATGACCGCTTCACATCTCGGACTGTTGCTTTTCTCTCCTGCAGCTCTAGCCGCGTCGCATGGTGTTGTAGTGTTTTGAGCGTAAAATAAGTCAGTAATGTTTGTGTGGTAGACCATGTATCCATAACAACCAACCGAATGTTTGCCTCACATGAGTTCTATCCTTCCATAATTTGACATCTTTGTGGCATAAACAACTTTCACGGAACCGGACACGATTTACAAGCTGCTAGTGCCACGTGGTGGAACCCTGTCACTAAGCAAGCACATGGAAGCCGGTTGAACTACACCAGCCTGTTCAGATAAGATAAATTGGCTGGTACTCGAAATAGGACCGGCAGTCGGTCGTGAGTTCACGGAGACCGATGTACGATATTCAGCTCTAATTTACTGGCTGTTCCGTTTTATGTGGTAAAGTTCAGTTTCAGCATCATGGAGGGGAACCAAAGCCTCTTGTGACATTATCTGAACAGTTTCTTCTGTATTTCCATCCCGCGTTCTCACATGGGCCTACTTTCGGAAGGCTGTGACCAATAACCACATGATTCCCTGAATTTTTATTGACACATGGGCTCGTTAAACATTTTTTATATCATCATGTATTCTCACTGAACTACCGCTCATTTCTGTTCTCTCCAAACAGTTTCAGTTGACATAATCCTGGAAAGCCACACTTCTTTGAAGGGATCGTGGATCCTTAATGTGTTCTGGTAGTAATGGCCCTTTCGTTAGTCACTTCTGGTTGTGTGATGACTTGGGCAATGCCTTTAAGTTGATCAATCTACTTAGTGAGCATTAGCACACCGTACTATTAAGCAGCATCACGTGGTGATCTACTCTGTTGGTGGGTCTTTTGCTCCCTCCCCTATGTAGATCCACTCGTTACAGGACAGATGTCTTCCTTTGTGGGACTTGCTTGATGTTCTGTGCAAGATATCTTAACTATGTACTTTGTTTTATCTATGTTGAGTAGCCGGTACACCGTGTGCAGCTGTCGGGTCCTTATTAAGAACTATCATCCGTAGGTATCTTTTGAAGTCTGGAGAGGTTCGCACACTTCGGGATGCTTGGTCGATAGTATAGCACAGGAGTGATCTCTACTCGGAAGATCCTATCGAGGGGAGCTATCGTATTTTGTGCCGGCTCAGCTAAGGATGCGTATTTTTGAGATAGCTCAACGTTTCAACATACAGCACAACTAGCATCACTGAAAAATTTGCATACGTGCGAACTCCAAACAGGCAGCATTTCTGAGACAGAAGCAATTTCGGCGGTTTGAAATTCTTATACGATAGGAATCCGAGTTTTACATTTATAGAAAACAACCAGACACAGCTGTTGAGAATGTTCATCCTACGCTTTCTTATTTGCGGGCCTAACAACTACACCCAAACTGTAAGGAATTTCAAAATATTCGTTTTTTCTGATTTCCTCCAGTTCCACATTTTCATTAGGTATCACTCTCAGAATTCATGACAAATTTGGTTTAGTTTCCATAGGGCTCTCAGAACATCATGTGACCTGCTGGAAGCGTGCGAAGCACCAATAGGTTAACTTCAGTCTAAGTGCGAGAAGCGGCAGATCTCGGGGTGCATGACATCAATTCAGCCCGCCTCCGGTATTGAATACCGAGTTTCAGCCTTATGCTCACCTTATGCATTCCGTAATTTTGAACGGGCTTACGTCCTTGTCTACGTGTGGGACTGTCCGAAAAATCTATACGCGAAAAGGAAACACTGATTATTTATTTAATTAAGCCTTAATTAAATATTTACGATCGAAGTGTGGCCAAGTTCAAATTCAATTTATTGACTTTAGTTTTCACAGAGAAAAGGAAAACTGATGATCACGTCCTAACCGGTTTTAGAAATCGATTACGGAGGTTTCTGGTTTGACCAGATGATATTCATTAATCACGAAAATAGTGTCTCAGAAAGTGAAAGATTCTTCTTAAGTGATATGAACGGTGTTTTCATGAGATTTCGACTCTGATTCGTTCCATTTCGATCAGACGAAGTTAACTTCTCACCTGTATGTTCCTTGCAACAAGGACCTCGGTGACCTGTTAGGCACATTCAACACTCAGATTTTACACTGAGAGAGCCTCAGTTATGGATTGATGTTCCGTCTGGGGCACGCAAGTTCACTCTGATCATGTTATTATATGGGCTCACCAATCAGTCCACTTTCCTTCAGGATTACGTACACCGGAGCAGAGTCATTCCATTCATCAGTTTCAACGGGTTTTAGTGGCTCAACGTCAACTGACCTGACTGGGAACCCACCAAAAACGCACAATTATGCTGGTGAGGACGACTGTTCGGAAGTCGCACGGAAGCGAGTGAAAGAAGCTATGTTCTCAATCTATAGGTCTATTTGTCTGAACTATCCGACTGGGATAAATGAACATTGGATGTCATTGCGATCAACGGATCGTATTGGTACCGGAAACCGGCGGCTACGGTGAAGTACGCAGATCCCTCGGATGCTGATTCATCAAGAGCTTGAAGAATGACAGAACGCTAGTGCATTTTGAAGGTCTCCGCTGCACGTAACAGCCGCGTTACTTAAGATGATTCGATCAGGTGGCCAGAAGAAAACAGGTGTCAGCAAAATAATATGCGAAGAAGACTGAACGGCAATTCACTCGTAAAACTTCGTCTTGATCGGTGGGCTGAACACTTCAAAGAACAGTCCACTTGGGTTCCTTCAACTCAACCCCTATAGAAGCCCAACCTGCCTGAATTAAACATCGACACCAGCCCGCCGTCAGCAACAGGAATCCAGCGTACGATGTCATTTCTCCAAAGCATCAAAGCACCCGACCTCAATGTTCAACATCCCACACTCTTCAAAGGTGATGGACGCCTGCTGAGCAGTCTGGCGACCCTACTATGGAAGTTTTCGGAGGGAACTAGAGTATCAATGGAATGGAGCGCCTCGACCGTGCAAGGAATTCATGCGAAAACTATCTTGTCATCGATCTGGTAACTGTGACATCCAAGAAGCTATCTGGCACTATTTTGCGCAGGTTGGTCGATTATCGGGCGAGACAGGGGTTTCACCCTGGCCTAAAATGCATCGGCTATACTTTCAACTTGAAACATATACTCGAGCAGTGCCACTCTTCCAGAGGTTTCATGATCATTCCTCATGATATGAAAGCTGCTTTTGATTCCGTTAGTCGTTACAAACCTTGGCAGTGTTTGGCGACCAAAAGTGTTCCCCTAAATTTATCTTTCCTATGAGGGCATTGTCTGCGAACTCCCATGAGTGCGTACGCAGATACAGAAAGATTTCGTCCGAGTACACCTCGTCGAGTGGTGTGAGACAAGGCTGCTCTCTCTCACCTTTCCTCTTCAACTTTGTTATTGATATGCTGCTTGAAATTTCTCTGCCTGTCTCTGCAACCTCGGGAGTCGAAATGCTTCCGCGGCATTCGCTCAAAAACGTTGCGTATGCGGACGTTATTGCTCTCCTTGTTTTTGGTCTCAGAAATGCAAGCCACTGACTAGTTCTGCCACTTGGTTTGTTATGAACTTTTCACCTGCAAAGTTTAAAGTGTTGCTACAAGACTTGGTGGGATCAAGCCCAATCCTCATGCCTGTAGACCAGTCCATCAACGTGGTAGATTAATTTGTTCACTTGGATAGTTGTGCAAGTTCCAGTGGAGTGGCTAGAAACCAGCTTACTTTTTTAATCGGGAATGACAGTTTTTGTCGATCTCCGGCACCCAAGACGCTGGTGTGACGTCATTTTGTCTGTCAAAGTCAGAGTAAACACCGTGGCCGTACGCCTCATATTGTTTCATTGTTCAGAAGCGTGGTCTGTACGCGCGGAGGGCATACGAAAGCTGTCCGTGTTTCACCGTTAGTGCCTCTGAAGCATTGGCAGGTTCTGGTGGAAACACGGGATTAGCAATGGTGAGGTGGGCCATGTAGGTTTTGGAAAAACGGACTATTCCTGGGTTACGCTGGTAAGGATCCCGCTAAGCTCTTTTCGCTCAGCCCTGTGCTGGGTGGCTGCCTGTGTATAACCTGGCAACCAAGTAGGAAAACTAACCAGTTAATACAGTCAGGCCGACAACCGTCACCTCCCTAGGCGGGTACCCGGAGACTCAATTCGTCAGTGGTTAGTGGCACTGACAAGCATGACTCAATCACGCAGTCATTAAGACTCCTTCATCAAGTCCACCGCCTTCAGTGCGTGGTTGTCCCATTTCTCGTTCTTTAAAATAAGTGGACTGCTTTGATATCTGCTAGATGCTTACGCCGTCGCCTCCAATGCCTGGCTCTATCTTCCCTGCTCTCCCACACCCCGGTGACGGAAACTTTACCAGTTGGAACCAACGTACCCATGGTGCATGGTCAATAGCTGTTGCACTGAGGTGTAAATCGACGGGTATGTTTTATATGAGATTAATTGGCTTGGCAGTCGGAAACTCGTTTACCAAAGTTTTCGATCAAGGCGATTTCACTACATGTTTATTCCCGGATTCCTCTGAGTAAACACAGTTATTCTACGTAAGGACGATACTTACCACAGTTTATTCGAATAAACCACTAGTTTTCTGTTGTGCATATTCCTCGTCAGAACTTGTTAGGAGAGCTGTATTCCTGTCCTTGGAAAGCCACTGGGTTGACTCCAAGCCTCGTGACTGTCGCGTGCAGCTCTCAGCTCTCGTCGATTCGATCAAGGAGAATGTCTTTAAGAACAGTTCGCACCATTTCAACACATCGTCAATTGTACTTTTCTTGTTTCTTGGAAAACTGCGAAATCAGTTTCATTGCCATGGTGGAACACCGGAAAACTAGGTGAACGCTTACCACTTCGTCGATACTAACGGCCTTTCTCCTCGAAACCTGGATAATTGAAATTAACCAGTGGATTAGTTATCACTCGCTCGGTTTGCACGGCAGCAATATCTGAACGGCAACTGGACAAATTATCTCTGCTGTAGCCAGCCCGCATGATATCTCTAACAGGTAGACGACAGGTTCTATTCTTTCCTTTCGAAGAAAAATCGTTAGTGACGAAAAGACCTTAAGCCAGTTTACGACCCGGAATATCTGCAGTGCACAGCTGGCTTTGTAACTTTTAATTAAGACTACATACACAGGCAAAAGTTCGGGGAATACCAGAGGATATTGTGTGGCTTTTATAACTGTCCAATCTATATACGAGAAGACACTATCAGTCTTTAAGAAAAGTGTCTGTTTTTTTCTTTTTTCTAGTGAAGTTAAATCCTCATCTTGTGCATGCGTCCAAAGTCGGGAGATTAGCAAACTGCCCGTGATGATGTGATGCAACAGTATTAAAAAACCAAACAGCGCTAGTCATAAGATGAAGGAAAAACCCTTGAATAAACAAGATAATTAGATTAGTCATTTACAAAGCAAATCCATGTAGTGGGATGAAAAGGCCTTCCGTGAGCTGGCTCAACTGATAGGAGAACAAGCTCGCAACAAAACTCTGCAGGTTATTGTTCCTTTGGATAACTACACTGTGGGTTCCAATCCGCGTTTGCTGCACGTGGAGCTGCTGTCTGCTGGAATCCTACTCTAGGTGGTTCATTCTGGTATCGTACAAACAGTATGACTGGAATGTATGCTTCCGGTCTTCGGCGCAGACGAAAACACGATTCCTATGCACTTCACTCAAAAACTCTTTTGATGACCGGAAATGAGCATGTACCGCAATGGACACTAGCAGTGAAGCTACACTTGGCTCGAATATATAGTGTTACGCAAGACTGTGTAAAATAGTATTAAGAATTCACAAAATACACTACTTTACAAACAAATTTATTTTTAACGGGAGACCCACGTGAACCACAATCGAATCTCTTCTTTACGGTGTTCTTCAACTGATGGAGACTTTGGAGACTGCGCCCCAAGAATGTCGAAATTAACCGTCCGCTGTCGATGAGTCTTCAGCAACCTTACGAGTAGTGTGTTTCGCCTTCAAGATAATACACTATGATATCTTGACTATCGTATCGATAAACATGAGGTGACCTTTGTGGGGCACATTTATATAAGAATATCGTGAACAAGAGATCTAGCTAGGATTCGGTTGAATATCCTGTTAACACCGACTCAGGTTACTAATGAGTGTATTTCGCAAAATGTGTACAATTTGTGTTCAAGTGGAACTTATGATTGACGGGAGTTCGGGGACTGCACCTCCATGGTGAGTCTCAGGGGCTGTCAAGAAGGTTTTGCAACATTATGAGTAATTTGTTCAGCCTTCAACGATTGAGAACTGTTTTTCCTCTGTGGATTTTGACACTGGACAAAAGGTCGGTTTTTTTAGGCACTCCGTAGGTCAGACACTGAACTCAAACCCAGGTGAAGAAAGGTTGATTTACGCATTACGCTAGCTTGACTGAACGTGGTGACACCTGTTTTTGGCAAATTATTGAAAAAGGTTATTGCATGTTTCTTTACTGTTATTATAGTGATGAATAGCAAAATGAATAGCCTATTCGAATGATGTGATATCAGTGGGTTCGATATGGCTGCAACAGACTTCCAACCGAGGATACCGAATTCTGGACAGCATGGCACCAACTCCCTTAATTTCTATTTTTAGTCGACCCTATCATAGCGATGGTCCCCTGGGGTTCTTGAAGTAATCATGAATGACGTCTTACACCTAAGCTGTTTGAGTGGTTTGGTGGTCGGTTTACTTCAGCACCCATCAAGACTGTTGTAGCTAAATGTAATCCCCGACCCACTACCTTAGTGTTGGAAAAATACTCATCATCAAGAGAAACAGCGGCTTCATTGCGAGCAAGCAGGTGCAAAAATAACAAAAGGCATCACGGTATTTAAAGTGCACTCTTGATCTTGAATCCAGGCTGTGCGATCGGCGTTGAATGATTGGTCGGTGTTACTCCTATAACATACCTGAACTTTCATCATCATCGTCAACTGATTGGCTGTTTGTGCGTCCAGTCGCCGGCTGGCTTTTGAGGCCCGGATGCTTGGCGGCTTCGCTACCGCGATTTTGGTGGAGTTTTGGGGTCTCAGTAAGTTTCGGACATTCTGGGGTTATTTTCAAGACTCCGACCTTCCTGACAAACCCTTTCAAACAAATTATGACTAAACAGTGGCGAAGCACTGATCTGCTGCCGATGATGATGTAGATGACAGCAGTGTGAGGCGCGTGCTCATTATTGTAGTCTGGGTTCTTGTTCTAGCAGGATGGTTTCCCTTCACACTTGGTATTAGAATGTTGTATCACCATTCAGGAGACTGGCATGGAGACTGATTGGTTGCACTTTTTCGTATTATGGAGGTTGGTCTCCTTTAAATCATCATCCAAGTGCCAATTGCAGTGTGAGTTTCCAGCGTTTCCTTCAGCTTCGCTTCTAACCAAACTTTTCTTTCTGTTTGTTCACACATACAGGCCTCTAAGCGCCATTCTATATCACTCTCCTGGGATCGCGAAGTAATCGATCTGATAGTTGATGGGTACGACGTATACTATGGAGCCCGTTCTATCCAATACGAGGTAGGTTTCCTGTCTAACCGACTCTTTTTTCGCACTCAATGTATTTTGAGTTTCAGTCGGAACAAACATACAGCAAGTTCTAAAACTTCTGTCGCTGTAGAAAAGCAGATTGATTTTTTGAAATGAGTCTTTCACCAGTTTGGATGTTACTAGAATGCCATTTATGCTAATGCACGAGAACTAATCACAGTATGTCAGTGAGCAAGCTTCTAACGAATCTTCTCGAAAAAACGGGTTCCGTACATCATCTACCGCATCGACTCACTATGTGAAGCGTTCTTCGTGAAGGAAAACAAATAAGTGGTTCTATGAAGTTTTGGTTGGACATTTCTAGGTGCGAGATGGCCCAAGTGGTTAGAGCGCGAATTTCGATTTGCTAAACGTGGATTTGCCGGCAGTTAGCGCAGGACACGCACCACACTATTCATTGGAACAGTCTACATTTACCATACGGACTGAATGCGATGGAGGTGGAGCATAGGATGTACAAAGCGTTACCGTTGTCATAGCATCTTTCGATAATTTGCTCCGTGATTTCTCTTCGAATTTAACCGTATGAAGGCGGCACTAGTTGAAGACCACTGTACGGGTTCAGTACAAGAATATGAATTAGTCACGGATGTACCGTAATCTTGAATACCTGTAACATTCAACTCAGGTGAGCCCCCAGTGCCCACTTCAAACCTGTCCTAACCTAACCCTGAATGTGCGTGAGACGGATGCTTCCTCTTGGTCAGCTCCATTAACGAAACATCCCGGCAACTTCCTGTGGTTGTATCAATGGAGGGTGAATTAATAAGGATTGAATGGCGAAATGTGCTGGTCTTTTTAACATTTCGTCACCAACACCGATAAGCTTCAAGTTTACAGAATGACTATAAACGGTTTCTCTGATGTCGATTCAGTAAAACGTTTCTGCGCCATTCATATCCCGTCCTTAGTTGTGACATTCAAACAGTACCTGATAAACTAATACTTGTGTGTATAGAAATTACATGAAATTACAATACTGTTTTCCTACTTCCGAATTCGTACACCAGAAACCAATTAATCGTTAGATTTCTTTTTTCATCCGAGGGATTCTAACCTCTTAAGGAACAGGCACAATTCTCAAGGGATCGAATTGGAGTCGAAAGTGGGAGGAGTGAACTGCACACTATGAACGTTCGCACTGTCGCTTTAGTGGAAGCCGCCCGACGACTTCTGTCGTTGTTCTTTCTTCTCGCTTGTTCTTTTCATTATATGGGCGAAAATTGACTTTTGGGGTTTCCAGATGATGGTTCGAAAAACAGAATGTCAAGCATAAAATAATCTCAGTGAAAAATTGGGGTCTTCGACAACTGGATGAGCCCTAAGACAGGAGAAACTGGCACTGAGCGAGTTGCTGTCATACTACTGGGTAGAGTGTTATACCAAGGAAAGTTACTACGCTCCCAGCGTATTGTTTTTTTCCGAAAATTCGGTAGATGTTTAGGAATTCTCTCATATGCATTTAGCTACACTGGAAAAGTCAGAAAACATGTATTTTTCTGGAAATTTCTGGAATTTCTAAATATCATTTGACGGCGTGCTATCTCTTAAATGGGTACGACCTACTTTTGCTAATGCCAGTTGGGTAGCTTTTCCGTTGTGATTATTTCTGCTTCGACACTGTGAAAAGCTTTTGCCAGCTCGGAATCTCACACAACACTAGCATGATTAAGGAAGCTCGGGAGCGTTTCGGAGTTGTATCCAACGTTCACATACTTGTAGATGACACTCATTCGCATGCTGATAACCAGTGTGACCGGACAAATTGGAATGAAGAACATGTTTAGCCATCGAAATTGAAAATTGAAGTTGTTCAGTTGTAGCAACCTTCCGGTGCCTAACTGCCATGCCACCGGAAGGTAGCAAGAGGGCTGGAATACTGCCAGGTCGCCCAAGCTTAGACAGGGGAAGTCGAGAGGCAAAGGTCGGGTTCGAACCACGGACCTTCTGGACAGTGAATTCGCGGTCTAACTACTTGGACCATCTCGCCCATCCTCATGTTATCCTACCTCTATTTCATATTCCGACAACTTTTATGCCCCTTGATACCTTTCATGTATAACTGGAAGGTTGCCTTTAAAACACCTAAGCCTGCTCAGTGGTCAAGGTTGAGCTGCTTAGACCGATGATGAAGAACGAAAAAACGACTGAAGGTATTTGATAACATCATCAGGGAACAGGACAATGTTGTCGATTAGTTTTCGGAAAAATATGTCAATGGTCCAGTTGTCGGGATCCACATTCCAACAAGTCTCTTGATGATACACAGGAGAGAAGATTCTTTTGTCCTTTAACAGCTTGTTGTGAATCATTCAAAGTCACAGGCTGCCGTCTATCTTGCTATCCCAGTCTCAGCTATCAAAATCACCTCATCCGGCCGTATCACGTCTGATCTCACACATTTATAGGTCACGTTGTCGATCACTGAGCGTGATATCATCCGGACACTGAAGCGTTAAACAGAGATTTTGAACCGAAACGATCGGAGCACATCTCTCGATAGGATTGTGAAAAGTATTGGGCCTATATTCTTTGCGTCTACTTTCTGGTATTTGTATTGGCATTTTAGAATAATATTTGATTAGGTTGTGAATCCTTCACTGATGAAATTGTACCATTCAACCCAGTAGGTGCAGAGATTTCCTTTTGTCACTAAGAAGCTGGGATCTCGTCGAGATAGCGCTTAAATGGTGGCTGAATCTGCCTCTGAGTCAGATCACATGACCAAACAATGTGTAGATGTGGATTTGCAATGATAGTTTTTCACATGTGACAGATCGATTGGTTATGGGACCGGAGTTGAAATCTGACTCTGGGTTTCAATGTAACTGGTGGTGGTTTGAGATCTACCTTCACCCTCTGTCGTTTTGTTTTTGCTGTGCACTTTAGTGTCCACATAATAGTTTTCATTCCTTCCACACCTCATACAGATGGTCTTGGGGTCTTTGGACAAATCAGTCGCTTGACCCATTGCGGAATCACACCAGATCGTGGTGGAGGGCTTCGATTATTTGTTCATTCAATACGTTGATGGTTAAGCAGTGTGTAATTCACATGGGTGTGTTAAGCTCGTGACACCTGGTAGCTCGGTTAATGGCATATTTGTCTCGCGCTGACGTCCCGCATCCGGCCTCATGTATTCAAGAGCTTTCCTCATTCCTTTCTTTCAGGTTGAGCGAAGAATTATCAGTTTACTGGCGCTGGCAGATGAACAAGGTCTCATCTCTCCAGGTTGCCAGGTGCGAATATCTGTCAGTCACGTCAGTGTCAAGGATGAATCTTGGTCTGTCAACAAATCCGGACAATCCACACCGAGCTCTGAGACTGCGACAGGCTCCATTTCCTCTTCACCACCGCGGATTGTGCTACGAGTCACTACACCCAAGGGTGAACAACGTGATCTTGATCTAACCAAGACTCCAATCGCCTGGAACTGAGTTTGGGACACAGACACACACAGAGATAATCTGTTTTTCGGACTTCTAGTGAAAATACTTCACACTTCCCTGCTCCTGTCTTCTCAGCTACTTGTGTAATCAGTTGTGTCGCAGAGTGCTGAGACTAAGGGTTTTTGGAATTTTCAACAGCATCTGTATCATAGATTCTGTTCCACAGATAACTGAGCTTAGTTAAGGACCTATGAAATTTGACTTATCTTGACTGGTTTTCGCTCTCATTCGGACGTGGAAATAGATTAATGCTCTGGTGATCCTTGTTAATTATCAAACGGATTTCCCTGAAACCAAAACAAGGGGAACCTTGAATAGAGGATACCCATGAGGAGGACCAGCATTTTCCACGCTTAAGTTATTTTAGCTGCAGTTTTTTGTGGTTATATTGTATCTCCCCCGCATGATCGAGGTTTAGCTACTTTAACTGTGCAATGGGGGGGGGAATGTTCAAACTCCTTCGAGTGTCGTACACGACTACACAGTTTTTACTCGATCAAGAGGCGCTAGGTACAATTAGCATGTCAAAAATCCATCGGTATGCTTATTTCGATCCCAATCCATACAAGAGGGAACAAAACAGGAGAAGTCTACCCATTGTCTTCAACACATTCCTGATTGCTGATGCTTTCTTAATAAACTATTTGAATTCATGGTTTTTGTTTTCCATCTGTATCCTGTATTTCGGTAAACCTGATCGTACCACGATTGGGTGGTGGTACCTCATTTGTGTTATCTAGCTGATTGTCGTCGGTAGCCATGTCCACAAATACCGGCCGTTCAGAGCACACCTTCACAGAACACGGTACAAAATAAACTGTTAAGCATGACGCCACTCGATAATTTGTGAGTTCTCCGAACACAACAAAATATTTTGCTCGAGCGTGTGTAATAGCAGAAGTATGGGGTGAACTGACAATAAGGTCACCTCAGTTCTCCATTGTGCGAGCCGGATCGCTTCTGAGGCCAATATTCTGCAGTGGTGGTTCTCAACCCATTTCTTACTCCCTATCCATTTCAGTATATCACGAGGGGTCATTCCACCCTCCGATTGCTGCTGGTCCAAACGAGTTCAACTATTTCCAACGAGTACCACTTAGAGTAATAACGGTAAAGTACGTTTTTCCTATCCGTTTCTTACGAATGTAATGCATAAGGATAACTAACCGCAATAGGAGTGCGATGTTTTTCCAGTGCTTAATGCGATTTCCATCGGTAGTAAACTGATGGTTATTTCCGGGGACTTCAGGGCAGTATTTGGGACGAAAATGCTCACCATCCTCATCGTTCACCTATCCCCGTTTCTTCGCCGTAACCGGGTTAAAGCTGGTGACGATGATGCTCAAACCAGTTGTAGGTTTCCCGAACTATTGGCGGCAAATATTCATTTGTTTCCACCCTAACTTCTTCAGGGTTCAGTACGGAATCCTCTCCATTCGTGATTAGCAAATAAAATTTTCTTTGTTAATTTCCCACCGCGGGACGATAATCATATATTCCCACTGTATCGATCCGACAAAGCCCCTGTAATTATAGTGTGAATTGTGGGCAGCATAGGGCAAACTCACACCGCACTTACCGGGACACCGTGCGCAATAGATTCTCTGACGAGCACAACTATCAGTGAAATGATGAGGAATGGGGACCTCACGTTGATATGTAGAAGACCAAACTCTGCTGAACGATAAGCCGAACAATTAATCTGTCTAACTACACTTCCTCACTTTATTTAGGATATGTCCTGAATGAGTGAGATTATACAGGTTTCCAAACCCTGCCGGTCGTTGTACCACTAGGTCTTTCACTTATTACGGTATTGAAAAGCCTGTTCTGTGTATACTGGAGACTGCAAGACTTCACTTTTCCTCTATTCATAATGCGGTAACAAAACAGCTTCACGTTTCTGGATCGGTCACCTCGAACTCGTAAAAAGTGATTGTCATGCAAATACAGCATGAGACCAGTGTGCTGGGTACGAAGGTGAGACTATCGTTATCCATAACTTGTTTCTTCCTGATGTGGAATTTCAACAGTAGGTCCCAAACACGGATGGCATCAGCACGCTTACGTGTTGGCCAAACATTCACTACTAGTGAAAGGAAGAAGGCCTTCGCTCCGGAGGTATTTATTAGAAAATGCCAACTGACCAGTTGCAGACTATTGGATAGGGGCGCAAAACTCTCATTTGCATTTTATGTACAAAAACTGGACATCCATCTTCTCCTGAACACGCCTTCTTGAACTTTGATATTGACTCAATCATTGACTCCAATCATTCGTTGCTCAAATCAAAGCAAATGCTACAAAGCGACTCCACAAATTCTGCAACAGATCTCCCTTTTCAAGAGACGCGAAGCGAATTTACAAGGGCAAAACATACTACTCGAATGCCTCCCCATCAGTAGTATCACCGTTACACTAGTAACGTAAGACTGTGTAGGCCATGAGTGGCAGGAACTGAAAACAAACTATCATGTTTCACATATCGGAAAGCCGAATCAAAAACCAGTATTCTAACATTTGGTAGCCTCTATTCCGCCTCCTTTCGAATCCTTGAAGTTCCATTTAGGGAAATTTCTCTGTCTAATAATCACTGTTTTTGGAGTACTATGCAAAAGAGATTTCAAAGCTCTCTACACTCCCAGTAGATATTTTCGAAAGTCCACACTACTAATACTGCTAATCTATTTGTTCAATAAGTGTCTTTTATTGGCTCCGTACGTTTTCACGGGTTTATATTCGGTCACTATGAAACTTGATAATTCACTACGGAATCCATGTTTATAGGCATAAGATAGGTATATGTCCCCGCTTGCCGAAATGCGTACCTGCAAGAATCGGCCTTGATACATTGGACAAAAGTTTGGTGCCCCATTCAGTTGAGCCTTGATAGAAGAGTCTCTTTAAATCATCAACGAAGAATGGCGAATTCACTTTACCGTCATCGATATCGTAAACGATTGAGCTTAAGAGGTCCATCACTCGCTCCATTTCGATTAAAACATCACTGATTTTACAATTAGAAGCACATGGGCCGTCAATCGCCATTGGCCTGAGCGTTTGTTCGCTAGTTCGAGGTATTGTCTGACGTTGGACTGTACGTGACCGGTTCACTACCAGCTTGTTACACTTGACAGTTTGTGTCTCTGTATGGCGAACTTTGTTACGGGCTCAAGATAGCTCGATGGTTAGGGTGCGACCTTGTTGAACGGAAAGTCCGTGGTTCGAGCCCAACCACATCGTCTCGATCGCTCCTGTCTGGGCTTGAACAATGGCAGTATCTAGTGTATCCCTCGTGTTTCCTGCAGACATAGCAGCTAGGCACCGAATAGGTGTTACACCTGAATGATTATCTGTTTATTTTATTAGCCATCAGACATGGTTTACGGTTTGTTCGCTGAGCTGGACAATTTGATTGCAAACGTTTCATCACCAATCGGGGTGATATCATCAGTGTGTTGTTAGGGAGCCCCCAACCACCACGCCCCCTAACAACGCACTGATGATGTCAACTCAATTGGTGACGAAATCTTTGCAATCAAATCGCCGAGCTCAGCAAACAAACCAATGACCATCCATGCTACGTGAGCTCATCTATAGCTAACCATCAGACAGGTTTGACAGCGCATAATTTTCCGTCCACTGATTGTGTGACAGTAACCTTTATTAGGCACGTACCAAGGACATCGCACCACACACTTCAATGGACGTTCCTACTGTAGAGACCGCAGGTAGTAAAAAGGACGATGGCGTCATTCACTGAGTTGGGGCCACATATATAAGGGCGCGTTTATTGCGCCCATAGCTCACGTCTTCGATGATAACAGCCCCCTCATTGCAGCGGTCCCCTCAAACCGCCGTATGAAGTGCTACAAGCCTACATGACCGTCCCAATGCTGGGTTGCTATTGTGTATCTTTTGGCGAGTACTATATTTTGATCAAGAAACATGTATCAGTTACCGCACACACGAGCATCTAAGACCGACTGTTATCCCTGCAATGATATGTTGAGTAGTATGTCACTCCAAGTGAAGATAGTTCATCCGGATCAGGGTAGCTTTAGCGGAGTATGTCCTGGCTGAAGCTGTACACAGCCATTAACTCGCCCGGTTCAGTCGTAGAATGCCATTACTAAAAATATTGCCTTCAACCTGATTGAGAACAGTATTGGTAGTTCAAGGTGGTCGTTTGGTGATCGAATTTTCGGCCGACATTGGCAATTTTTCCTAACATCGCTGTTTGTAAATTACCACTTAACTTGAAATTTGGCGCCTCTGCTTTGCCGAAGACAACTTTTGCCATGTTAAACCAACCACCACATAAAGTCCGTATGTCTGAGTTATAAAAAAGTTCACTCAGTAGCCGTGAGCAGCTATGTTCATGTTGATGTAAGACCCTAGTTTATCAGTTACGAAAACCTTCGTTAAAATAGGTTATCTTCGATAACAAGCCTCCGTAGCTATGACGTCAAACATATGTCGCCTTAACTCCAGCCAATAAACGACGTTAGGATTAATGAAGTTAGTGTGACTGCAGTCAGACGTTTAGTGTTATGTCATTAATGTAGTGGGGAAAGAATACCGTTTTGGGGACTGTTTTGTCGTCTACCTTCACGGCTACCTTCGACAAAGCTCATTAGAAGCAGATTTATCACATCCCACTGTGTCAGTAGTATCCAAACTAAAGCCTGCGCGTTAACTTGATCTGGAACACCGCTACCTTGTCCTACAGCTGGAACAATTTAAACGCTCTGTCAGACAACATATGACCCTGCGAAATAAACCGGACATCAAACATGAAGAGTTCAAAGAGAAAAATGAAGCAAAGGGTACCTAACTGCCTAGTATTTTTGCATCATAACAGGCATTCTGAACGGATGATCAGCCAGAATAATCGGACGTGGACCATGAGTGTTAATTGTGGTAGGTGCCACAACTGTCTGTCAGAGGACAGACTAGTCACGTGGCTTGTCTGGTGTTATATCTGCTGATTCGCCAATCTGAGGTATCTGCTGCTGACCCGCTCTAGTACCTAGTGCCGGAGAAAAAAGACTCAGAAGGGAACACAACAGCTATATTCCGAACAAGCAAGTGCGAGAGCGTGAGTGCGTGCGAGTTCGAATGTACAACGGTCTCGGGCTAGTTATTGGAGGGACACTGTCTGCACTTGGTCCAATGCTGACGCACGCGGTCTGGCTTTGGTACGAAGCTGCGAGGCACTGCATATATTACGGAGGTGTTGTCTGACCTTGATCAACGCTGACTCTCACTGTCTGGGTTCCATACAAGGCTGTAACGCGCTGAATATTGAGGGGGAGTTGTCTGTCTGGTCGACATCTAGCGGAGCTGGGAGTTTCGGTATATTTCGGGCATTCAGCGGTTCCTCTCAGAAATGTGACCTTCCTGATGTCTGGTGATGTCTTTCGCACTATGCACTTCTTCAAAAACGGAGTCGACCTGGAGCCGACAAGCGCTGTTCTACTGTCTAGCTTGCGAGCCAGTGCTTACTTGACAGCACGTGGTTAGCACGTCGACCAGATTGGTCCGATGATTTGTGTCGGTCAAACGGGTGGTACTCACACTAATCGAGTGTTAGACTGTGTGGTTGCAATACGGGATAGATAGAGGATCTAAACCGAACTAGGTAAATACACAGTCCTATAAATCAAGTGGAATTAAGGAGAGATACGTGCAGTCAGAGAGTGGACTTTCAGATACTGGTTGTCATTCAGTTGATCAGGGCTTATTTGATCCACCTCATCCACAAGTTGCTCCAAAAAACTCACAGGCCACTCGATTTTGGCACACGCATGAATACTGATAGCGCATTTAGATAGGGACTTGAAATGATCTTTGGTCCGAAACTTACTTTTCACAGATTTGTTGATGCAACGCTGTGAAACCCGGCAACATATATTTTTAAATTACACCTTTTCAAGCAAGTCAATTAGTCTCAGGTGCGTCATTTTCTACACGGACATCATTCTCAAAATGGACGGGCCACCGACCGCCCGTTTGGACATGGGGGGGGGGGTCAAGATCCATAGGCGGTTTTAAGTTGCCACTTGGTTCTACACATTAGGTGCGGGCAACGCTAAAGACCTGCTTGCATCCTGCCAGGCTGGTTGTCGGGGGCCAATGTGAAATTATGGTGAACTGTTGTTATTGCACATTCACTCTCGGTGGTAGGTTCTACTTCTGTTATATCTAAGTATCTGCTGATAAAGCCTTTACTGCACGTAGGCAGCGAGTATCACTTTATCAAAGGGGTAATGGGAACTAAATCACTCCTTTCTGGAACCGAAACGTTATTAGAGTTGAGGAGTGAGAACGTTGGTGCTTTGAAAGTACACATTTCAAGTACATCACAGCACGTTTTAACAAACACCATTCTAGGACACCCGAATTGTTATCTGAAGATTAGGCTGAAGACAAGCCATAACCTAATAAGGCCTTTATTTCATATCCACCATGAGGCTATAAACCAACTGACAAAGTAAGTCAGCAATTAACCTGACTGTCAACTGCAAGATTGTTCTTTCTCAAGTTGGATAGAAGTCTCCTTCTCTAGTTCCTGAGTGATCAATTTCCTCGCTTGAAACATCTCTTTATAGATGCTTAAACCCTTGTTCGATTATTCACTCATATCTCCCTTGCTTTGAAAACTGTGGGACACCCCAAAATGTCCAGTAATGAGTCGTCTCTAACTGTTTTCTCTGAATCTGACCATCCTGACAATTCCTTTTGGCTGTAAGATTATTGAAAGGTTTCACCCGTTTTCCGACGCGATCGGTACAGCGCCTTGGTTGCATCAATGGGTCTGTCTTGGACTGAACAGCTGAAGCAGTGGCTTAGGGTGGTGATTTCGGAAGAACTATGGTTTAAAGTAAAAGCATGGGGTCTAATGACTGTTCTGCTTTTGGGGTCAGGCACTCAGCCGATCGTAGCTGATTGACATGCCGTTTCTATATCGATGATCCCACTCAAACACATGAATTGCCTGACCTGTCATTTTGAGAATGACTCCAAAAATCCACTTTCAGTGCTCAGAGTGATAGTCCCAAATGGTTTCTAGCCTGGAACGATGTTTGACTTCTGTTGGTGTTGGACATTAGCTTTCGATCCGGAAACGATCGATCCAGTCTACACCCAGTAGGTTGAGATCACAAACCACAATCTGGACAACACCATGATCGTGATGGTCTGACATTACCATCCCAATCAAATTTACCAAGCAATTGAAGCTTACGTGCTGATGCATATCTGGCAGTATTCGTTGTCGGTCTGAATTTCGGCGTTCCTATCTTCCTCTAGATGCGACGGGGAACAATCGTACTATCGGAAGCCATATGGAGCTGCAATTGAATTGTGCTCTCGTTTGCTTTGATTGTAGCCTACATGCGATGAGCATCGACCTCGTTAAAATGGGTGGCAAGTACTGTATTAAACCGAGGTTCGGATTGCGTCCGTCTCCTTAGTGATATCCTGGTTGTGCTGAGTGTTCGACTAGGTTTCCGTATCGGGCACTGGCTATCCTTGTATCCACACTGATTGCATACTGAGCACTCGTGCTTCTTATAAGAATATGATCACAAGAAACGCCATTCGCCGCATTGTCAGCATGCCGGTGAAAGCTTTTTCCCCTTCGAATTCTTCGAAGTCTTCTTGGCAATACCAAAAGCAAGGTGGATAATGATTTCTCCAACAAGACTGTGTCGCGTTTAAGACGCGAGAGACACTGGCACTCGTAAGTAGTGGCTTGTAGCGTTATTCTGGGAGAGTGTTCAATCCTGTTCAACGGCCTCGTTCTGACACCCATTTCTGATTGCAGTTGAAGACCCCATACGAAAACTGGACACTTGAATTAGTCTTCCTTCATGGTAGAAAATTTGAATTATTCACATACAAGACTGACTGATGTGGTCTTCATACTCCTTTTTCGCTGGTTTCGTACGTTGATAGCAAATATTAAAGGCAAAAGCTCACCATAA